GGTATAGTGGTTCCTTATTGCAAAATGTAATCCTAATATAAGATCATAGGAGTATAACGCATAACGACTGTAACGTGTAACGCCTAAAGCGCGAAGCGCTCCTGGGGGTGGACCGCGAGACGCTTAGGGGGCGTAGCCTCCTAGTGAAATAAAATTTGACGACAAATCTGCAATATCGCGGATGAAAGTTTAGGGATAAGTACCTATCTCGGATTGCGATTTTCCAGATTCTTTGAGCAGTTTGATTAACTTACCTACAGAAAACTAATCAATATTTTATCTTGAAATCTCCTCAAATTTTTCTCCATCTTGCATAGAATATTCCGTTCGTGTTTCAAGCAATAATAAGAATTCATTTTTCTTCGGAAAAAGAGAGAGGACGAATAAATGTTGAAACAACAAAATTGAGAATCGCCTTATCAAGATACGTGTTTGATTTTCGACTTGTTTTACCGTTTGTTGAATATTTTTTTCAAACATTATTTTTGCACACCCAAAATATCCCCGAGGGGCTGATCCTGCGCTTTTAATTACAGCCCCCTCCCCCTTGCCCCAATCAACAATCAGTTCTAGACAACCATTCTTTGAGACTATCAAACTCAAGTTGCCTGGCCGTGAATCGAACCCCGGACCTCCTGATCTTAGAGCCAGTGTTACAACCACTACACCATACTGCCGTGCTAAGGAAGAACGCCGTATGAACATGCGAGAGTTGTAAAATTTCCTTCGATAAAATGTTTATTTTTGAGGAAAATCATGAATATTCCCCCTTGAAATTATCAGACGTTTTAGATCAAATTACGAACGAAATTATTTCAGAAATTGGTAGACAAATAAATTTCCTGAAAATTAATGATTTGCAAGAGGAAATTTGGCAACGCCTGAAGGCTTATACGACGTTTTTACCAAGCATGGCAGTACACCATACGAGGCGAATTTTAGAGAGTTTCGAAGTTCGATTTCCTGAAACTTCCTGACTCATGTTAATGTATTCACACAGAGAGCCAGTCCACCGAGCAAATCGTTAGGTGAAGAAAAATAAATAAAGGAAAAGGGGAAAACAACCCGCGTCGTCGACTGGAGAAAATTCTTGAGATACTTAATTCTGATAAATAAGCTCAACTTGATCATTCAGACACCTTGCATGTATCGGACTGGATGCCAAAACTTGGGTGCGGAATACAAGTCCCCGGTCAAAACTTTAGATAGCACTCACTTTTAATTTCTTTTCAACTTTCCACTTATTTATAATATCAAACTTTGGCTCGAAAATTACACGCCGCGCCGTTTCAGGAGTTGGCGTTTAGAACACTTTACTTTATTACCGGGCTGCCCGGGCAAGCGTGGTTAAAGTTGAAAAAGCTCGGAAAAATAAGCTTGAATCAGACATGGGCTCCCCTCCTCTCAAAAAATCGAGGGTCGGGGGGGGTTGCCCGATAAATTCACGTAAATGTTAGCTGCGAGCAAACACAAACGGCTCACTCCTTCAATTATGCGGGAGAAGAGAAGGTAAATGACTTCCGGTGACATTATCTGGTTTTTACTTTCGGTTCAGTCAATTAAGCAGGTATTCTACGTTTCCCGGGTGCCATGAGCTTGCGACTTGCAGTGGAAAATACGGCATTTCCATAAACAAAGTAGCGGTTTAACAAATATCAGAGTACATGTATAAGGTTTGGATTTATTAGGAAAAATAAATGGTGCTCAAGACAGCGAAGAGGCCAGCTTTGAATTAGGTAACGCTAAATTTACAGTTTTTTGGCACCCCCACCCAGCTAAGTATTCTGCCGTCGCCCAGTGGGTCGAGTCAATGGGAGCGGTCGAACATAGTCTGGGAAACATTGAAAACTTATATTTTCGAAAATATGGAACAAAAAAGTTTAAGAGTGCTTTCATTCGTTTTTTGTGAAATTTCCTTTCAGAAACACCCCTTGAAATGGAATTTGAGACGAAAGAAACATGAAAATTTGAAATTTAAGCCAGAAATCCCATATCCGACCTCGTCTATTAGCTCGTACCACTGTACGTCCTAAGGAAGAACGCCGCGCGAGCCTTTGGCCATTGCCAAATTTCCCTCGTTAACACGTGAACTTTTCAGGAATTTTTTTTTCCAAATAGTCGCAGAATTGCATTCACAATTTGAGCTAAATCATCTGAAATTTTAAAAGCAAAATTCTCTTCATCGAGTTGGCTTGTATCTCCTCGAAAAAATAATGTACTTAAGCACGGAAATTTTGGAACACCGCACTGAAGATACGTGGTTTCGCTTTTTTGCCATCGATGCGTTTCTTCGCATCCAGGACTGATCTAAATTCCGCTTCAAAAGGAGGATCAACTCTATCCTTTGGGCCCCTGAGACTCTGTTAAAAATGAACTTGCGACATTTTCAGTCAAGATGTTCGTGATTCTCCTATTATTACTTTAATTTTTAAAAAAAGGAACATGGAAGGAAATTATGCATCGTCGGATACAGGCGATCCAGCTCATTCTAGTTAGGGTGATTCGATGGACGCCATATCTTGTGTCAACGACATGCGATACATCGCATCGATTGGCTCCATTTTTTCAGCCACTCGTCGTTTTTCTCGAATTTTGAGTTCTCAATTCTGTTGTCAGGAGACTAAAGCACTCACTTACAAATGTTAACAAATAAATAATAAAATAAATGTTAGATTTGGTAAAAATTCACAAATAAAAATGAAGGTATCTAAGTGAAAGTGACAACCATGTGTTCATGTCTTCCAAGAAGTGAAGCACCCTGGAATGATTCTCCAGCTGAAAAATACCTGTGAGAGTGAGATAAAAGCCATAAATAATAACAAGAGTAAAAGAGACAGAACTAAAAATGCTGAGACTGTTTTTTCCGGGGAGAGGATCTTTTCAGAGCGTTTCACCTTCTAAGTGACTGGATTTTGCCTCGAGCGCGTAATGTGCTGATTACTGCTAATTTAGTCGCGTCTTAACCGCGAGCGCTGTATGATGTAATGTCAAAATAAAACCCGAATTGTGTGCCGCCTTAAATCAATGTTGTTCTTTCTAACCATAATATTTCTATAAAATGACATTCAACGCAATAAAGGCGTGGTTTCTTTAGAAAGGAAATATCGCATTCGAGTGCAGTTTCGGTATCAGTATCGAATGCGATGTTTTCTCTCTAAAAAAACCACGCTTTTATTACGTTGAATTTATTTGTTAACATTTGTAAGTGAGTGCTTTTCTCTCCTGACAACAGAAAAGCGATCTCAAAATTCGAGAAAAATGATTAACTAGCTGAAAAAATGGAATTAATCGATGCGATACATCGCATGTCGTTCTGTCACAAAATATAGCGTCCATCAAATTACCTTTAAGTTCATTTGTAGAAACAAGATGAACTCATTGATAATTTAACTAGACGCACGTATAGATTGGCTGATTCGTCACAGGAAATTTACGCCTATGTTTTTGCGGTACCATTACTTGTACTACATTTTGCAATTTGGAACTATCAATTCTAGCCTGGTTTAAAAACAACGTATACGCCATTAGCTTCCCTGTGCACATAAGTGTTTTTCCAGAAGAGCCAAAATTCATAGTTCCAAATTGCAAAATGCAGTCCAATTCCGCACCTTTCAAAGAGGATATGACAAGTGCAGTGCGATGTTGCCGTACATTTTTTCAGAAATTGAATTATTCTGCGTGCTGATTTGAAAATTTGGCAGAACTTCCTTTCTTCATTTTGCCAATTTAATTTCATCCTTTCGGATAATTTTTCGAAGAATTGTCCATAAAAAAGTAAATAAAAACTATTTTAGTGACAATTTATAGTAGCGCTGCACCGCGCGTGTGATATTCGTCCAAAAAAGAGACGAAGTATTATGCTTTGAAAAACATTTCCTCCTGAATACAAATAAAAATTACGTGGCTACTGTCCGCAAAAGAATTTCGGTCGTTTGAAAAAAAAGCAATACATAATCAACGTAAAGATTAATGGGCTTCGGTGTTCGACAAGGAATTTGTAAGAACAAAAAACGGAAATTTTTAGCATGAAGTAGTAGGGACCCTTTTTTTAAGTGATACCTATTGCAATTCTCCTCATTATGCGCCTATAGGGACGGCTCTCGATTTCATAGCTACATCAATGCTGCCGTGCTGAGGAAGAACCGCGGCCTATGAACATTCGAGAGTTGCCAAATCTCCACATATGACACGATAAAACATGTATTTTTGACAACATGCATGCACATTTTTCTTTGAAATTTTCTTACATTTTAGATTACATTGCGTGCGAAACTGTCTGAAAATTTCGGGGTAAAATATTCAAAATGTTCCCTGTAAATTCGATTTTTATTGAAGAAAATTTGGCAACGTCTGAAGGCTCATACGGCGTTCTTCCTTAGCACGGCAGAATGGGTAAGGTCGGAAACCACGTACTTTCATTGCGATGTTTCAAAATTTCCGCTCCTATTGCCTTTTTCCGAAGAGAAATGAGCCAACTTCATAATGTAGGTAGCTTAAATTCCACTTTTACGAAAGCCTCTGCCAAGAATGATCATGGAACTCAAGAAATTACGTCAAAGCACGTTGACTAGTTTCTCGCAGAGAAGATACACAAAGTATGACAGGAGGTCTAAAACCTCGCAGACGGAGATACGAGGTTCTTCACTTTGGCCATCAATACTAAAAAATACTTTAACCGAGTATTGACTCTAACGACCAACGGGTAAAAAGCAGCTGCGTTGGTCTCATCGGGTAGACAACTCTCGATAATTACTTAGACATACATGACTTTTGATCAAAATTTCTACACTCTACCTTTTCCAGCACCTATGCACCTATTCTTACGCACATTATTTGTGAAATGACACAGAACAAGAGGAAATGGGGGAAGGTGGAGCAAGAGAGGAAACGGAAACATACCCACGGAGGAAACAAAAGAGATAAATATTCCAGGAAATATCCTGCAAAGGATAGTCCAAAGAATTAAAGTTTCCTTTTAAATGCTTCAACAAAGCACTCACCTCGGGCAAAATCATATCCAGGTTACATTCCGGGAAATTCAACACTACACTTGGGCTCGAGAACCAGCGGAGTCTCTCAGCCCGCACTGACACACAGACAGAAGAATACAATTTTTAATTATCAACAAAGTAAAAATGTAGAAGTAAGTTGTTGCAAAAGTTGAGAGAGATTGAACAGAACCACACCCTCAGAAATGCGAAAGAGTTCCGAGATATGCACGCCGACCAACGAACACAAAATTCATCGAACACACGGGTTTTTAATAATCGCCACGGTAGGTTACACTGAGCAATAACCTCAAAAAGTACGAGGAAAGTTGTGAGAGAATTTAAGAGACATGAATGGCATTGTTGAAGGATTCAAATAATTGCGATACCGCGTTCAACCACACCGCGGAGCACATACTCATAGAGATGTTTTTGCTGTTATGATTTGAATGCACACTCGACAATTATTAATAGCAATGATTCGGAAACAATCCGATCTTCGCACACCTGAAACATTCACGACAAATGAAAAGAAGCACAAGAGGATAAATGTACACCCCCGTTTGGAAAACGGAAACAAGCGTTAGCTACACATGCAAGGAAGTTGCGTTGCTTGACGTATTCTCACGAAGTTTTCTTGTCAGATCGCGAAACCGGGCAAGCTCTTGCTTTCTCGTACGGGCGAAGCGCTCACGGTGCAACCTCGAGGAGGCTCGAAGCGTAACTGGGGATGCGAGGGGCGACACGGACCAGTTGCAGAAAGCTCCGCGTGGCGCGCCGCGGTCGGCCGTCTGATACGGTGACAGAGCAGGATATGGGTCATGATAAGGAAGGATATTTGCGAAAAAATGACCATCCGGATGTGCAAGATTTTCAAAGAGCGGGTGCATAAATGCTGATGCGAATGGAGGGATTAAAATGAGCCAACGTGTAGGGTTATTATGAATGCGCTTGGACTTTTTTTCTTTACTTTTTCGTCCGATGTGGATCTGGCGGAAAAGACCTGGAGGAATATGCTCTGTGAAATCACTGCATTTGGAATTAATAATGCATTAAACGATGGGTTTACACTAGACGTTGATTATATAGGGTGGCCCTGACCTGCCGTACAAGGATTTTGTCTGGCTTATTTATAAGGTCGGATTAAATGTAGGACTGCGGGGACGAATTGGGAATCGACCCGAGGGAATCCGAATTTCATGTCCCAGACACCACCCCCCCTCCACTTCATGGATCCTCTCGGGCTTTAAAAGGGGACCTTCACTTCAAAATTTGGGGCTCACGTCAAATTTTGAATTTATTTCATCGGAAGCAGAAAGCAAGAGAAATTTTAACGTGCATCGACCCATCCAAAATACAGACCCCTAAAGGTGAGGGATAGAGCACCCCTCCAAAAAAAATTCAAGTTTGCGAATTTGACGTAGAACTCAGAAAAAAAAATTTTTTCTCGGGTAACCGACCCCATGATTTGAAGGTCACGTTGCCTCTAGAGGCTTCTCTAATGGGGGTAGAGAAGGGACACTAACGTCGTAAATTTACCTGGTGTGGTACACTTGTACTCCTCCAGAGAAGTCTGTAAGGACAACAGGACCCTCAAATTCGGATTCCTTAAAGTCAGTTACCCAGGAAACCTTTTTTTTCTGAGTCTCTGCGTCAACGTAGCGAACTTACATTTTTTGGAGAGGGGCTCTGCTCTTTTAGAGCCCTTTCGAGGTCAGTATTTTGGACACGTATGGGATGATGTTGGATCAGTAGGTATAGGTGTAGGATAAAATTTCTTGTATTTTCTAATTACGATTCAATTAATTTTAACTGCCCAATGGGGACCAGAGAGGCTCCATCCGGGGCCATGAAATCCGAATTTCTTGGTATCAATTCCCAATTCACCCCGCGGTCTTAGACTTAGTTGGACGTAAAAAAACCGAGAAAAAAGCTTTATACAGTATGTTTGGGCAACCCAGTATACATCGGCGGATCCAGCAAATTGGCAACATTGTCTTTTCTCCATTTAAACATATGAAAATGTATCGATTATTGGTGGGGCCGGGTGCTCCCATAAGAATCGATTACTTAGCGTAGGTTTAAATGGAGGAAATCCGGTGTTGCCAAATTGCTAGATCCGCATCTGCCAGTATCGGTGGCCGAAGTGCAAAACCACGTAACTCCATTGCGGTGTTTCAAAATTTCAGCTCCTATTTTATTTTTCAAAGAGAAAAAACTCAACTTTATGTCTTGAGAATTTAGAATAATTTACTGACAAAGAAGAAATATTACAGAAGTTTTCGATCAATTACGTTGACCAGTTTTCCAAAGAAAAAATTACTTATGGGACCGGTCGATTTCCTCGCTTTAGTGAGGTTCTCGTAATGGCGATAGAGATCAGAAAAAGACAGACCGCAATCACACGCTGAATGTGGCTTGAATGTGGAGGTTATCGGTCCGACGCCTGAATTTTGCGCGTGACGCGCAAAATTCAGCAACCATCGGACTAATGTTGGATTTGTCTGAACTGTCCGAGAAGATTTGATACACATCTGGATGCAAATAACTCGAATTTGCGAAATTTCAGCCGTTTAGCGATGACTATTGACTTCCATATTCAGCTGCTAAATTCAGCGTGTGATTGCAGCGACAGACAAACTCCGATATCAATTACTCAATATACTAAGGTACCACTTAGGGGTGCAACATCTGTATACGATCCCTTGATCCTATGATTGCAGGCTCGCGGCGTGCACTGATCGGAAATGGTGTATGTACACCGCGGTAGATCCGGCACCGAAAAAATACGAATTCTCAACAATTACAGCGCGCAAGCACCGTAGTGAACGCGCAATGCGTGAAATATTCCTACAGTCTTGAAGGCGCTAATATACGCTTGAACGCACTGTGTTTTGCGCAATCACTCGTAGAATATTTGGACGTGTTTCTGCCAAGCGGAACTACGTGCATTATGAAGTGAGCCCTGTTGCGTACATATTCTTATGGGTCTCAAGGCTCAAGTCTTAATGCACATAGTTCCGTTTGATAGGAATACGTCCATTCGAAGACTAGTTTCAGTTGAAATCACTGATATTTCAGTTTTTCTATAAACTGCAGCAATACGCTTTGTCCTCTAAACCCTTCAGTTATGACAAATTGGGTTATTAATTGAGGAATTGGTACTCAAATTTTGCGAAACACAATGACAGTGGCGATTTCCGAGAGCTGGTAACACTATTTTTCCTCCATTTAAACGCATATAAAACAATTGATTCTTGGTGAGGCAGCTCGCCTCACCTAAAATCGATATTTTCAATGGTTTTAAATGGAGGAAAAACAAGTTGCCAACCTACAAAATTACCACAGCGAGAAAAGGGGCCTTATTCCACGGAGGCAAAATGTTCAGTGCAGCGAATTTTAATGTGCTAGTTACACGCTCAAATTTCCATCAATTTCCGATCAAACGGTGACTGGTGCGCACCATCTACCATCAAATTTCTGCGGCCTGCAAAAATTTGATGGTAGATGATGGAGCTGTGGGGCTCATCCTTTCATCTGATTTCCACACAACCGTGCTTATTTCACGCTTACTTCAATCAACACGCTGTTTTAATTAATTTTACTCATCAATCTAGATGACTCTCGACCGCCATCTTTGTCATCATTTTGATCGGAATTTGACGGAAATTTGAGCGTGTAACCAGGCTATATCAAGCTGGGTCGAAGAATGGATTTTGAGATTTCAACGGGAAACTTCTTGAAACATCCTACACTGCAACAGGGCCTCTTCCTGCGGACGGTGACCAACCGTTTGCTCGAGTATGTGAAAACCCTAAAAAAAAATTATATCGTATTCGTATCCTTTAAAGATGAGGCGCGTGGTGCGAAAAACAAACCGGGGAGGAAAAACGGAAGCTCCGGTTGATTAATGGCGTGCAATCCTGGCGCGGCGCGTGAGGAAGCCCGGAGTTCGTGACCCAGAGACCGCGGGCAGTAAATCGGGCGTTATTTTGCTTTTCGCTTTGCCGGATATTTTTGCCGTATCTATGATCGGGCGTTAGATTTATTGGGCCGCATCTCGGAGGAATGCCGCCGAGGGAGAGCCGAGATGTGATTAAAACTTGGACGAAATGCAAGTTGCCGATCTCACGTGAACCGGAAAAGATTGGTGGTGTCTCCCGGTGGCTCGATCGGGATTTTATGTCGGCGACACATAACTGATCGCATGGACGGATGAGGAGTTTAGCGGTCACTCGTTTCTTTATTACGTACATGACCATCCACGAGAAAAGCTTTGCAAGTTGGGAACTCTGCTTTTTCTCCATTAAGGTGATTCGATGGACGCCATATTTTGTGTCAGAACGGCATTCGATATATCGCATCGATTGGTTCCATTTTTTCAGCTACTCGTCGTTTTTGTCGAATTTTGAGATCGCAATTCTGTTGTCAGGAGACTAAAGCACTCACTTACAAATGTTAACAAATAAATTCAACGCAATAAAGGCGTGGTTTCTTTAGAAAGGAAATATCGCATTCGAGTGCAGTTTCGGTATCAGTATCGAATGCGATGTTTTCTCTCTAAAAAAACCACGCTTTTATTACGTTGAATTTATTTGTTAACATTTGTAAGTGAGTGCTTTAGTCTCCTGACAACAGAATTGCGATCTCAAAATTCGAGAAAAACGACGAGTAGCTGAAAAAATGGAACCAATCGATGCGATGTATCGCATGTCGCTGACACAAAATATGGCGTCCATCGACTCACCTTAAGGAGTCCTAAGAGCGACTCGGAGAAAAGAAAAAAAATTGTTGTTGTTTTGTTCAACGAGGAAAAACCCCAGAAGTTTCATTCCTCCCTGCGATTCGAACTTGGCACATTCATGAAACGTCCCGTGGAGTCAAGGCCCAACTCTCGTGTCGCCGAGGAGCGAGGATCCTGCCGCGTCGCGATTTCGGGGCGCCGTGATTTTTGCATCGCGTTGACAGGCGTCGGTGGCGTCGACGGCTGCCGATGATGCGCCGCGATGCGCCTCATCGGGAGCGGAGGATCCTCGAGGAGAGTGCAGCGCGTGCCGGCTCCCGCCAAATTGATTACCTTTCAAAGGGGGCGCTGCGGTTAAATATTTAGCTTGCACGGCGAGCTGAGAGCGGATTCCTCGATTTTTCACCGGATCCATCCCCGACAGTGGAGCACCTGCATCATCGACTCGCTTCTGTCAATATGTTCTGACACCCCCGAGATCCTCCGTCACCCCCCGAGATCCGCCGCGCCGTCACCGAGGGTTGAGAAACCGGAGTCGGCAGCGCTAAGAGCTCAGTCACTCATCTGAGTCTCGGCTCGACCCCCTCCTCCTCCTCCCCCTCTCCCCCTCGCCCCCCGATCGTCTCATACCTTATTCAGTTTCATTCCCGGCATCCACTCTGGACTTGCCAAAATGCGATCATATTTCTCTCATTTCCCTCACTTATACTTGGAATACACTCTGCAATACTGCCCTGCTAAGGGAAAACGCCGTATGAGCCTCCAGACGTTGCCAAGTTTCTACCGATAATACCCGAAATTACCGGGAAAATTGGGAATATAATTTTCCAAAATTTTCAGACATATTTGTGCGTAATTCAATCTAAAATATCTGAAAATTTCAAGAAAATATATGCATTAATGATGTCTAAAACACATATTTTATCGAGGGAAATTTGGCAACTCTCGAATGTTCATACGGCGTTC